TGTTAAAATGACTGTCATTCAGAAGATGAGAATCAATAGCTATTGATGAGGATGTGGTGAAAAGGAAATCCTTATATACTCTTGGTGAAAATGTGAATTGGTCCAACCACTATGGAAAACAATATGGAAATTTTGTCAAAAGATTTTTTAAAAATAGATTTATCATATGATCCAGTAATTCCATTTCTGGGTTTATACCCAAAGGAAATGAAAATAGGATTTTGAAAAGGTATATACACTCCCACTTTTTTTTTCATTTTTCACAATAGTTAAGATAGAGAAACAACCTTAATGCCCATTAATAGATAAATAGAATATTATTCTGCCATGAGACAGGATGATATCCTGCTTTTTGTGACAATATGCTAAGTGAGATAAGTCAGACAGAGAAAGAAATATACTGTATGATATCACTTATATATGCAACTAAAAAAGTCAAATTACAAAAACCATGTTGTAGGGGTGCCCAGATGGCGCTGGTGGTTAAGCATCTGCCTTCGGCTCAGGTCAGGATCTCGGGGTCCTGGGATCGAGCCCCGCATCAGACTCCCTGCTCAGCAGAGAGTCCGCTTCTCCCTCTCCCTCTGCTTGTGCTCTCTCTGTCTCTCTCTCTCTCTCAAAATGAATAAATAAAATCTTAAAAAAAAAACAAAAACGAAAACCAGGTTGTAAAATGGTGGTTGCTAGGGAATGAGGTTGGGGGGCAAACTTGCAACAAGTAGTAAATAAGCCGTAGAGATTTAATGCACAATATAATGAATATAAAAAACATTGTACTATAATTATGTAATGTGATAAATATCACTTATGGCAATCATATTACAACATTTTAATGTTTCAAAGTAACACATACAAGTTAAATTTAGACAGTGTTATATGTCAAATTTATTTAATTTAAAATAGAATTGACATAATAAATAAGTAAATTAAATATAATATGTTAGAAGGTATTAGGTGGTATATGAAAAAAAATAAAAGTACAACAGGGTTAGGGGGATTGGAAATGTGTGCATGTGAGAAGTTGCTGAAGGAAGTAGTACACTGCAGGATTAAATAAAGTGATGAGTGGAAGCTGAAGAGAAGATGGTGTCTCATCACAAACTTGAGGAAGATGACATACTTAGCAAGAAGCTATCTGGTATAGATCAGTCCAGAGATTAGAAAGACCTTGGACAAGTGCCTAAGATAGGAATATACCTGACCTTTTGGGTCAGTATCTCTAAGCATAATGAGCAAGAGAGAGTGCTGAGTATTGTAGTCAGAGAAGTCAGCCAGGTCATGTTAGGTAAAGATGCATATGCCTTTGTAAGGCATTTGATTATTACTCTGAGTTAAATAGAGAACCATGGAGAGTTTTTGAACAGCCATGTTATTTAATCTACCTTAACTTTTGAAAGGTCAGTGGCTGTTCCTTGACGTCAGACTGTACTTATATTCAGAGATAATTCAGACAAGAGATGTTGATGATCTTCGACCAGAGTTGGAACAGTGAGGGTGGTTACAAGTGGCCTGATTCTAGACATACGCTGAGGACGGACAATGGGATTTTCTGATAGATTAGTTGGTGAGCTTGAAAGAAAAAGATTTAAAATTGACTCCTGGGAATTTAACATAAGCAAAATCTAAACAAATGGAAGGATGAGTTTGGCAACAACTGATATCAGGAAGGCAGTAAGTAAAATATGTGTAGAAGGAAGGTCAAGAATTCAATTTAAGATATATTGAGTGAGATATTTATTAGACATTCTTTAGATAGTTTGAGATATGAATTGAAAGTTTGGAGAATGCCTGGGCCAGAGTTCACTGAAGGGCATTGCAGCTCCCTAACAAAAGACAGAGAATAAGATTTGGAGCAGTCTATTAGTGCTATCACTTTCATCATTGCTACAGCATCCCTGGTGAATGCTGGTCTTACAAACCTAAGTACATTATATAAATCTCCTATGCTGTCTTCTGCAAATATAGGTTTCTTCAGGAGGATCAGCCTTTCTCTAAACACAAAAGGTGATGCCAGAAAGCAGATGCTTAGGAGACTTATATTTCCATAACTAAGAACTGTCACTCAACTGATTTCTGTCAAAAAGAAAGAAAATTTTCTCCAAGGAGATTTGGGGCTTCTCTCTCTCTGGAAATAATAAATAGCAGTATAATATCAGACAATCTTTCCACGGCTGGTACTTATAACCAATATCAACCATGTAAGGGTAAGCCACATACCCTTCACATATATATTACCATACAAATATAGACATGGGTGTGGTGTGATAGATGTGTATATTTATATATAAGTATATATGTATATGCACAGACATTTTTTAATTTGGATGTACACAAATCTTCCTATTTTTTTTTAAAGATTTTATTTATTTATTTGAGAGAGAGTGTGTTAGAGAGAGCACGAGCAGCTGGGAGGGGCAGAGGGACAGGGAAAAGCAGACTTCCCACTGAGCAGGAAGCCTGACACAGGATTCCATCCCAGGACCCTGGGATCATGACCTGAGCCGAAGGCAGAACTTTAACCTACTGAGCCAGGTATCCCCAAATTTTCATATTCAATAGTTGAAACACAAGTATTAGGATATGCTGCTGAAATCAGCTAGTGTGAGTACTCCAACTATTGTCTTATTTTCTAGGTAGTTTTTGCAATTCTAGATTATTTCCTCATTTACCTACAATTTTGCAACTGTTTATGATTTTATGACCACAATGTTACTACATTAAAGAAAAATGAGAAGCAGTGATCATATTATTTAAATAGTCAGAAAATAAGCTAAATGTGACTATGTAGCCTGGGATGTTCAGATGTTCAGAAGGCATATGTGATAAATAATTGCCTTCTGCTTAAATATTCCCATATATTCTAGAAAATCATATTGAAGTATGAACTAGTTTTCAGTTTTTTAATATAAAGGTACTACTGTTTCAAAGCACATTTTCTTTAGAATTATTTGACTTTATGATGCATCTCAGATATCTACGCTTAGATGAAACAACTTGATTGCAATTAGGCAAAGATTTATTATTTCATTTTTGTTATAAATTTAGAATTATTTGCATTCCCAGTAAAAACTAAAAACATGTTCACGGTTACTGTATAGAATTACATAAAAATATAACTATCCATCTCTAGTCAAGAAAGCCAATAGGTTAGCAAAAGTTTATCAAACAGGTCATTAAACAATGTAAAAAGTAAAGAATTACTGGCTGTTACTGGCCTTTCAATATAGGAAGTTATTTTTTACAGACATTTTTTGAGGTAAAATTACATAGAGAGAACTGTACAAATACAATTCAAAGATTTTTGACAAATGTGTATACCTATCTAACCAACATGCCCACCAAGACATAGTACATTTCCATCCACCCAAAATGTTCACTTGTGCTTGGCCCACACTGTTTAGTCATTTTTTAAATTTATATCACCAGACATTAGTTTTGCTTATTTTGAGGTCATATGAAAGAAATGACACCATATGTACTGTTCTGTGGTTGGATTCTCCAATTAACATAATTGAGAATAGTTTTTGAGAATCTATATTGCCATATGATGAATCAGGGATTTATTTTTTATTGTTAGTGTTCACTGTACAAATATACTACAGTTTGTTTATCACTTGTCCTAAAGATGGGCATTTGAGTTATTTCTGGCTTTTGGCAGTTTCAGTGGAGTTGCTATGAATATACATAAGCAGTCTGTTTTGGACTTAAATTATGATATCTGTTCAGGAAATACCTTGGAGTGGAGTCGCTGGGCCATAGAGTATATGTTTAACTTTGTAAGAAAATTCCAAAGAGTTTTCCAGAGTTTTGTATGAATTCACATTCTTCCCAGAATTATATGAACATCCCATTTGTTCTACATCTTTCCTAATACTTGATTATTTCACTCTTTAAAATTGTCTTACATATTTAATATTTAATCTTGAAAATTCTAGAGGGTATAGAGTGGTATCTCATTATAGTTTTAATTTTTATTTCCCTGATGAATAAAGATATTGACTACCATTTATTTTCTTACTTGACATTCATGTCTCCCTTGATAAACTTTGTGCCCAAGTTTATGTTTTGCTCATTTTTTAGAGTTAAACTTCTTAACTTTTTATTTTTTAACTATAAGATTTCCTTGTATTTTTCTCAATAGAAAGCACCACACATGTATCACAAATACTTTCTTTCATATGTAACTTTCTTTTCATTTACTTACGGTGATTTTTTAATGAGCAGAAGTTTTCCATTTTGAAGAAGTCTGATTTTTTTTTAAGATTAGTTCCTTTTGCATCCTCTGTAGATCATCTTTTCCTATCATAAGGCAGATTAACTATTCTCTTATCCTTTTATTTCTAGATGTTTTATACATTAATTTTTTCTCTCTAGGTCTATGAAATATCTCAAATTGATTTTCATGTATGTTTCTACACAAGAGTGGGATTTTTCCCCCATATAATTACCTATTTGTTCCAATATAACTTGTTGAAAAATCTTTTATTTTTCTCATTCCATTTCCTTAGTACTTACATACATGTGTGAATCTATTTCTGGACACTCTATCTCTTTCAGTGAACTATTTGTCTGTCATTATGACAATGACATATTATCTTGAATACTGTAATTTTATAGTAAATTGTGAAACCAGCTAGTGTGAGGACTCTAACTATTGTCTTTATTTTTAGGTAATTTTAGCAAATTCTAGATTATTGCCTCATTTCCCTATAATTTTGTAATCAGCTTGGCAATTTCTACAAAAACAACTATTGAGAGTTTAAATTGGGTTGTGTGTGTGTGTGTGTGTGTGTGTCTATATGTCTATGTATGTATATGCATATATGTATATATAGCTTTATTTAACTATAACCGTGTACAAATATTTATATATAAATCTCTATATATAAAAGATATGCCTTGACATAACTAGGTCTCTAATATATTTATATGAAATATATATCTTTCTTAAATATATTTGGGGATAATAGAATATTATCAGAAAATTTATAAAAAGAAAGGAACTCACTGTCAGGGGAGATACCATGATCATGAAGGTGGTTTTCCTGGGGTGAGGCTTATCCATCGCATTCCAGATGTGCTGACCCCTGCAATTTCCCCAAATGTGGGAAACTTGACTGCGTAATTTGTGGTAGTGGGGGACTGCGTTTGCACTCTCACCTGATCATTAAGTGGTTGAAAGACAAAAGAAATGGATGAACGAATGAATGAATGAATAAAAGGAAAGACGTTGCTCTTGTCGGGGATGGTAGAAATTTTGTTCAGAAAGCGAGCCTTTTAAATTCCCTTTATTTGTATATCAGAAAACTAAAGCAAAATAAATTATTTTGTTATTTTCTTTTTTCAGCTTCTCACAGTAACTTGAAGGTATAGCATGGAGGTACTTTTCCAGGGTCACAGATGTGGCTAATGGAATATTTTCTGAACCCCTTCTGGTGTCCTTTCAATCAGTTGCACATGTGACCTCAGGATCAGTTTGGACTATCATAACTTCAAAATTGATATTCCACATTTGGAAAAGAAATTACAACATTCCAAAGTATTCTATTCCCATCAAATGGTCTGTTGTGCTTCCAAGTCATTGTTCATTATGTTCTTTCTTTTTTTTTTTTTTAAGATTTTATTTATTTATTTGAGAGAGAGAGAATGAGAGATAGCACGAGAGGGGAGAGGGTCAGAGGGAGAAGCAGACTCCTTGCTGAGCAGGAAGCCCGATGTGGGACTCGATCCCGGGACTCCAGGATCATGACCTGAGCCGAAGGCAGTCGCTTAACCAACTGAGACACCCAGGCGCCCTCATTATGTTCTTTCTACCCAGAATGTTTTCTCCATTTTCCACATGTCTGAGACCTTACCATTCTTCAAGGTCAAGTTCTCCACTCTTAATGAATCTCATTATTTGGCATTTGTTATTGACAGCTTTGTTAGGCAATGATTTGTATTTTTCATTTCTGCTAACAAGAGTCCTGTGTACAGTAGTAAATGGAAGAGCACTGTCTTAAAGAATTGTAACTCTCACCATATCATCAGCAAAACTTCACATACGGGTACTTGGAAAATAAATACTGATTGGATAAGAGTGGCCATGTAACAATAGCTAACATTTATCATGCCTTACTGTGTGCACACATTTTTCCAGATTACTCTTACAACTATATGACTCAGGTAATTTTATTATGTACATTTCATAAATGAGAGCAATGAGAAGTTAAAGACCTTGCCCATGTTCATGACTCTAACAGTGGTGGAGTCGGGAATAAGCATAGACAACCGGACATCAGTAGGTTCTAGGAATTAGGGCCTTGATACTTTGGGGGGAGGCATTATTCAGCCATCTCTCTTAAATATTACAGAAATAGTAAGGAAAATATCCTAGAAAAGACCTGACAAGTCTGGTCTCCAGCAACTTCTCTGATCCAATGCAATACCACTCCAGTTTTCTCACTGTCCTCTGAGAGTACTGACCTCCAGGACATTCCCATTTTGGATACCAACAATGATACTATTTCAGGGAATTTACACGTGGTGTTTCCTCTGAGTAGACTGCACTCCTAGATAACCACTGGTCTCACATCTCATTTTCCTTACATCTCACCCACAGTGCTGTAGGATCACCAACTTTCCATACAAAACACCATCTCTCCCACCCCCTCATTGACCTGACCTGTCTTCTTTCCCCCATAGCAGATCATCCCATACTCCAACATGCATTTTTCTTTCTCAGTCTCTCTCCACTAGACTCTAAGATTCTTTTTTTTTTTAAGATTTTATTTATTTATTTGAGAAAGAGAGAATGAGAGAGAGAGAAAGCACATGAGAGGGGAGGAGGGTCAGAGGGAGAAGCAGACTCCCTGCCGGGCAGGGAGCCCGATGTGGGACTCGATCCCGGGACTCCAGGATCATGACCTGAGCCGAAGGCAGTCGCTTAACCAACTGAGCCACCCAGGCGCCCAAGACTCTAAGACTCTTGAGGGCAGAGACAGTATTTGTATTCCCACTGTCTCTGGTGGCTGGAAGAAAGCTCATTTGTTGAGAGAATAAATCCAAGTCCATAGCTCCTGGAATTGCAATTTAGATTCCTCTTTCAACAAGAAAAACATGGGCATTATGAATAAAAGTAACTAAAATGATAGATAAGTAATTTATTGTGTCAAATGGAAGTTGAAAATATAACAAAATGGATAATTCACTCTGCTTATTCACAAATTATGTCACATGTATAGTTTATAATTTATCTCTAGAAAGAGTATGAATAAAATAAAGAAAAAATGTGTTTATGCCATTAATTTCCCAAAACATTAGCTCATGAAACAACACTAGAGGCATATTTTACTGCCATCACCATCTTATGCCAATAGGACTATACATGAGATGATAAATTTTGGTTTCTTATTAAATGCAAACTTTAAAAAGAAAAAGAACTTTAGGAGTAAGTGGTATTTGGATTCACATTAATTCAATTTTGGATTAAAGTTCTGTCATCTGTTTGCTGTTTGACCTGTTCTGCAATTGCTTTAGGAAAAAAAAAATCTCTTTATGCTTTTAGCCCATTTTCTTACCTGAAAAATGATAATAAAACACTGACTTTATTGGTCATGTGAAGCAAGTTAAATCTCATATGTGCAATTGATTTGTAAAATGTAAATCCCACATTAATATTTTTACTAAAGAGATGATAACACATGTCTGCTCTTCAAATTTCTCATGGGTTTATTAAACATAGTTATTTTAAAAGTAATCTTGTTCAAAGACTAATTTTATAAACTTGTAGATGTATTAGTGGAGAGAGAGAGAAAGATACTACTCTACAGAAAAATAGTGTGTTTGGAAAAATCTTTCAGATTGATCCAGAAGTAATCAATGTCATTTTATTATCCAGATACTTTGAATACCGGTATATTGCTTTGTTTATGTTTTCCTTTAATCTTAAAAATTCACTAATTTTATACAAACAATTGAAATTTACAAATACTTCTTTATTTTCTCAAAGACACAAAAATGATTTTAGATTATATTAGTGTTAAGAAATGTTGGGGAAAATTATAATACACTTTGGAATTGCTTTACCATAATTAGCAGGTTTTTTTTTTTTTAAATTGAGGATCATCTTTACTTCAGGTTTTCTAATACACCACTTGTTTAAAACAAGTATTCTTGTCAATTATCCATAGTCCATAGAACATTTGTAAAGAGCTACCCAAATAAATATGTACATTACATTTTCTCTGGTTTTCCATTATATCACACGAAAGGTACAGAGGCCCAAATTTTCTTTTGAAATAAGTGTCTAGAGTAATGCTTGTGAAATGTTATTGTTTGTTTTCCTTTTTAGGTGTAGCAGAATATTTTTTAAGAAATTTAAATTAGTTTCCGAGGACTATTCTCCATGTAAACTAACAACAGAGTAATACCCCAACAGAGACTACAAATATTGACTTAGTAAACCTACTTCATGCACTTGTAATGAATTTTCCAGGTTTTTTAATTTAAAAATTTTATATATTACTGAAAATAATAAATTGAAGATAATAGAACCATGTAGTAGTCCAAATCTTCACAGAATTACAAATAGTTAATATAAGAGGAAGTTCATCTAGGTCAAGAGAATACAGAACATTCAGTGATCTATTTCAGCCAGGACAATCTCATATTCTCTGTATTTTTCACAATACCTTATAACATAGAACATTATGATATGTGTTAATTAAATAATATGCATGAAACTTAGAAAGGTGTAGATCTCAAATTAACTTGTTTTAATGTCTGTTCTTACCCTAATAGAACTTTGATCTCTAAACAGTATGTAAAATTACTTGAGTATATGCTTTAAAAATAAATAAATAAATAAATAAATAGATAGATAGATAGATATAAAAATGCTACCCTAGGGGGTGCTTGGATGGCTCAGTCAGTAGAGCACAGGACTCTTGATCTCAGGGTCCTGAGTTCCAGCCCCATGTTGGGCATCGAGCCAACTTAAAAAAAAAAAAAAAGAAATTTAAAAAAAAGTATGGTCATATTATTTTAAAAAAAATGCTGCCCATAAATTGGCTTTCTTGGGCTATACTGCAGTTAGTTTTTGAACTTCAATAACCACAGGCAGGGAAAAATATATTCACTGTTATGCATAGTGACATAAGTATAAAAATCAGCTGTAATGTATGTAATACCTGCTTTGGATCACACATTTGATTATTCTCCCCACTCAAACCAATACCACCCCAATATGGAAAATGAGAAGAGATTCTCTTTTTGGTTTTTCAAGTAATATGTTAGGCTAGGAAATTCCAGATGCTGAGGGAAAATGGCAGTAAATATTAGAAACTAACTTCCTAATCCTCCTGACTCCCATTTTCTGCAATACAAGTGGTTAGGAGAGATACTCAGGGGGTTAACAACAGGGTGCCAGGAAGGGAGCCAGCATTTTGCTTCTACTCACTCTTCCTACAGTGAAGAGACCTGTGGTGGTCCAAGGACAGGAAACACACACACACACACACAAAAGCTTACCTTCTGAACCCCTTCTGAACTCCTCCTTCTAGAAACGTTTATGCAGGCTCTGTGCATAAATTGGATGTTTGGGCTTAGATTCTCCAACCTAGAGAGATTCACCAGCAAGACTTTTCATCACTAATCAGAAACCCCTCCCTTCACTCTTTTCAAATTCGCTATTGTTAACTGAGTCTTCGACACCGTGTTCCAAACACAATCCTAACTTCCAGCTTCAGGAACTGATGTTAAATATATCTACATGCAGCAAAATGGCGTCTGACCAACGCATTGCCGTTTAATTGCTTCACTTTCTTGTATTTGGTTGCTCATGCTCAATACTCATCCTAGAGGAGCCAGCCTCCCTCCATCACACCCTCTCCATATGATCCAGCCATACAAACATATCACAGGAACAGAACCCAGGTAGAGTTATTATAGGCATTAATTTAAAAATGGGTAATCAAATTCCTCATATGATGTGATTTCTAAAAACAAACCAAAATATGTGCTATTATAAAGTATGTCAAGTAACTAAAAAGGACCCGTCTCTAACAGATTTAGGGATAAGAGTAGGTTTAGAGAACAGGCTTCTGAAGACATCAATAGGTACAGTTTTCTACCTCCATATTCAGGTGAGCTCCTTACTTGCACTTTGTCAAATTTAAAGAGAA